GAGTTCCTGGAAAGGGTTTGGGGGATTATGTTGTACCCAGAGTTATAATAATTTTTGACACAACATAATTAAAGCTGATGATTTAATATAATAAACTAAATCAGTGAGCTAGAATACAGTGGTTTGCATGAAAACAATAAATATTTTTAACATTAACAATATCTCCTTTATTTGTTTACCTGAAACTAGAACCTAATGTTGGTAATTCCCTTTAGAATAAGAAGTAATTAGTTATGATGCCGTCATCTTAATTTAAAATCGATTAAAAACAACTCATTAAACAGAAAGAAATCAGTACAGAGCCCAGTAGCTCTCACCTCACAAAACCAGCATGTGGCGCTGTCTCCTGTAAAAAAGACAGCTCCGAGTTTCGCAAAGCGGGTCTTCAAAAAAGCACATTTTTACATTGTCAGACTGCTCTGAAGCACAGGCAGGAAAATAATCCTCGTATTTTTAACATAAGACCAATACTCTGCATTTGCAAGAATTTATTGGTACCAATTCTACTACTTCTAATACCCAAAGATTATTTAATGTCATTTATTGACAAAAAAAAAGTCAGTGAGCAAAACATACGAATGTGTCTATATTATGTGGTCATGGACAATGATGATCTTTAAAGATCGGTTGGATTGTGTATATCATTTATTTCCAAATTTCTGTATTCTGTAACCAATTTATTAACCTCTTTAAAACGAGTGTATTTACAAACGTGTGTATCTTGTCTTTTGGTCTATCGGATATTTAGCCCATAGTGGGTTTTAATTACCTACTAAATTCTTGAGCTACTGAGCCTGTTTCTTAATCTCCGTGTAAGGGAACAGGACCTGTGTGAATACAGTTTTACTGGAACTGAACAGCCAGTCTTTTGTGTGCTAACCAAGTCAGCCCTCACTAAAAAGGAATCCACCGACTACGCTGATGATCTCTGTAACCACGACCTTTCAAACAAAAGCAACTGAATAAACTGTATTTGCAAACTTTTAAATTATTAAGGGCTCTGTGCCCTTTGCTGCCAGACTTAATAAAACAAAAGAAACAGGATTTGTACCCTTTTTCTTAAAGCTGGGGTTTGTAATATACAACGTAAATTGCATCAGTAGTAACACGGAGGGGATATATCTGTAGAACCATCTGCCCTCTCTAGATTTGCATCTGATTTACAGATAGTTACATATTTTTTCAGGCAGTTTTTATTATCTGCTAAAATATGGCAAAAGTTGAAAGCATTTGGTGTACCTGTAAACACTATGAATCAGTGAAGCAATTTTCTTTTCCTGCCTCAAGGCAAAAAAGGTTGCAAAATTTTTAGTCAAGGCTTAAAAAAACCTATTTGAAAGTTACTCCGTTAGAAACTGGGAAGTCCTGAACTTAGTATCGAGGCCTGAATGGGCTCACCACTGTTTGTCACAATATTGCTAGGTCTGTGCATTTATTTCTGTGCTGTTCTATAATTTTTTTTTTTCTTTTTAAATCCAGAGGTGCTGGATTAGGCGAAGTAACTGGTTCTCTAGTGGCGAGAAATCAGTCAGAATTGGGAACAGCATTTCTGAGCCACTTACGACCTCTGCTCACTGCGAGAGGTAGGTACTCACTCCAGCTCCAAAGACGAGGAAGACTTCTGGAGGTGTAGCTGAGACGGTCTTCCTTGCCTAACCGGGGCACTTCCAAAATAGCCGGCGGAGTACGCTTACACAGTGCAATCAGCGGGGCAACTTCTGTGCCAGGACATGGCAGGTGACCTCGTCTGCTGGCAACTGTGCTCCCTCAAGCATGGAAGGGCGCGCATACTGTCATTTCGATTTGTTAACACCCGCAGGAGCGAATCTAGCCTACTGGCTTCTTTCAAGTGAAGATTTCTGGTCAGCTGACAAGAGACACTGTAAGCTGCAAAGTAATAGCTAAACTAAAATTTGTCTCGCTATTATATCTGTACGTTACCAATACTTGTGAGAAGAACTCTCTTCTCTTTTTAATCTGTGCCTTTTGTGGTAAGCTAGTAAAATTATAGCTAGAATCTAAAGCTAGAATTTAACTACTGATTTATTAGTTTGGATGTAGCAAACCTTCTTATACTTTGATTTTCTGATATATATGGGTGTATGCATATAGTCCGGTAAGAATGACATTGGGGAATATGCTTTATTTCACATTTGTGTACACAAGAATATCCATAAAGAGAGGAATTATAGCTATGTAAAATTAGTACAAGCCAGACTGGTCGAAGACCTTGCTGTCTTTTGATGAGATTTTAGGTGACTTTCCTAATGACCACTTAACTGATGCTAAGACTTGTTCCAGTAAAGAAGAATCCTGCAGCCTGTTTAATATAGGCTTTGATAACCACATTAAACTACTACTTAGAGTAGTAACTAATCTAGCACTAACTCCTGAAACGGCCTACAGACTACATATTTCAGCTCATACAACCTTGGGATTTTCAAGTTCAGGAGGCTCAATCCACAGGCTCCAGTGAGAAAAGATCCACTTGCTCTTTCTAGTAGCACATACTTGCAACGGGAGGAGTCCATACAGCGTGCGCACGGAGAGGAATGTAGTACGTAACCCCTGTGCTACATACTGCGGCATGCACTCCCAGCCCTGGAACTGAAGGCGCAGAGAGAAAGGACGCTAGGCTGATGTATACTGTATGGTAGCCATTTTAAAGCTCAAGGCGCTGTTTTAATTTTGCAGCTATTACCCTGAGGTATTTGGACTAACGACTTGTAGATTTTCATTTTTAAGTAACTCTTCAGAGGAGCCTTTATGAGTTTCACCTTGGGACAAATGCTCACCGCAGTGTTTCTCTGTAAGAACCACAGAGTTTCAAAAACTAATTTCCCTGCGACTAATTTCCCTGCGTTCTTGCCTCCCCGTCCTTTTTTTGAAAAAAAAAAAATAAATAAAAGAGACTAACGCAGAGAAGGCTT